TCCAAGAATTCCAATAATCATATATTATTAATTTTCATAATCAAATGTCCTTTACATCTTTCAAATTAAATTTATAGATGAATAACTTTTAAGCTAACTCTGCTTCCCACAAGAATCGATAAAATTTCAAAATCAATTTCAATTCTTCTAATAAGCATCTTATAAACACTAATCTTCCATTATCATATCTAACCTCTTCTCTACCAACTTCATACTATCAAATTCTTCAACATCAATCATTGTAACCAAGCTAATTTTTTTCAAAAATTATGACCATATATAGATTAGTATCAAGCTTTAAGATGGATTTTTAGCTCAATATTTGAATTTCTTATTCTCTAAAACACACTTGCAGCGGCCAAACACACCAAAATTATATAGCTTCAACCATTAAAAATGCTTGCACAGAAAATTAACAAGTTAAAGGTGTAAAATTTCAGACATCAATCAGCAACCATAAAGAAGAGAAAAAGAAGAAAGCTAATTGAAATTAAGGAAGAAAAATTCATGCACCAACAGCAACATTTATAGGACATGATTTTTTTCAGCATTAGCTTCCATCTTTTCATCCTTTCACACATACAGAAATCTTCCAAGGAAAGGAAATAAGATCAAGTTTCTAACCTTAAACGTCTCACATGCATGAGCAGAGGAAGAAGGAGGTAGCTTCATATATGAACAGTGGAAAGGATAGATTGTCACCATGAATGAAGAAAAATGAACAGACTAGTGATGATAGGACAAGCAAGAGGAAGAAAGAAATCTTAGCTCGCCTAATCAATTATACATGCAAGAAACGACAACAAGAAAGCAAGAGAAGTTTGATAGAGGAGGATGAATGATAGTGAAACAGAGGAAGAACTTGCAATTGTAGTGGAAGAAACAACAATAGGCACATAGGTGATGGCGATGGCAATGTCAACTTACATGAATAGCACACGACCAGTGATTGAAAAGGAGGATGGCAGAGATCAATGAGAGACAGGGCAAACGTTTAGTGCAAAACTCTCAACTCTCTCTCTCTCTCTCTCTCTCTATGCTCTAGAAGACTCGAAGAAGACAAGAATAAAAGAGAGGAAAAAAATCTAATTGGGATAAGGTAATTTAGTAATTTCATAAAGAAATTGGCAAAAAAAAAAAAAAGAAACTTCCTATAGCCTTATCCAAATTCAAACTTAGGCCTGATGGTTAGGTTACATGCATTCTTCCACTACACCAACACTCTATATTGTCATATTTGTTCTAAAAATTAATATAACTACTATTAAAATACAAACTTATATTTTATTTTATTTTATTTAAAAATTCTGGGTTATCACAAACACATCTCGTTGTCTCTCAACTTCTTAGAAGGTATGTCTTGTATAATATATACGTGATATAAACATTTATTCTATTTCAAAATTGATGAATTTATCAATTTTTTTTGTAATTGTTTATGTCAGTCTTATACTTGATGTCAATCTCACTTGGGGTGTGCTATTTACTATGTCTTTTCAATGTTAGACCTTGAACCAAAAATTCTCAAACATTTTACAATTACATGAAACAAATTAATAGATATATATATACCTCTATAATTAAGCTATCATCGCCAGAACAAATTTGACTACTCTTTAAAAATTATTCCTTCAATGAGTTATCTCTGATAAAAAAATATTTTTGTTTAAGTAGACAATTTAATTAAATGTTATTGGGAATTCTCTTTCAGCAAGGCACTTTTTTTTTATGATATAATTTTTGGAATTCATTTTGTACTTTCAATTGTCATAAGTTAATGCATGCATATCTGTATATTATTTGGTTGGTAATATTGACTGGAGATCAAATTATTGAATGCATGTATGAGATACAACAATAATGTATTCCCAGAATTATATGTCTTACTCTTTTGTTTAATACTATTTTTTATATAAGCACTCACGAAAAATGTCGCACTCCAAAATTAATTGTGCTCAACACGGGTTACATGTACAAACATATATCTTTGAGCAGTGATTAAGGAAAATTATGAAATAATACATATGATATATTATCAGTATGATTATATGTATCTATATTTACTTTTAAAATAAATCAAAATATTAAACTTTGTATAGAAATTTAGGCAATACCTCCTCTATAAATAAAACAACCAGAAATCTCTATAATAGGAGATTTTTATAAAACAACAATCATAATATGAATCTCCGCTCCCCAACAGCAAACAATAAACTAATGATTAAAAGGTGAAGATCCTAACTATAGTATATATAAAGCATCTAATCTTATTTTCAAAATAATACGTAGATTTCATAATTACATTTAAAGGAAATATTTACAAAATGAATCCCACTAGGCTCACTAAAGTCCCTTGGTGTCACGCCCTAAAATAGAGGGTGACCGACACGAGTGTGAATCACTTTCACATTCCCGTAAGCCTTAAATGAATATTATTTCATTTTTTTAGGAAATGCAAAATTCAATCAAATCATATGAGAATTTAAATAACTTCTTTAAATTCATTATCATAAGAAAATGTCAACGTTTTTGTAGAAATTTCGGCAAACCTCCCCTGCAATTAGGATCTTCTGAAAATTCTACAATAAAAATTTTTACAATAACAGTATAATTCAATAGCGTAGCTCCTTCCAGCTAGCTATCAATATACAAACCAATAATAAAATTCATCAACAACATATGTGGAGTATCTGCTACTTCTTTCAAATCAAAAAGACATACAGATTATATATTTACATTAAAGCAACAATACCAATCAAAAAGTCCACCTACTGTAGCTAGTTCCCCTTTTTGAGGTTGTTAGTGAAATCAACGTCAGCTAACAAATCTGAGGCCAAAATAATTTTTCAGTGAATAGCATTTCCATAAAAAATTTCTTAAAATTTTAATCAATAATTTCTAATAATAGTGCCAGCTAGTTAAAAGCAATTCTATCAAAATTTATAAACATGTAAGTCATAACCATATGTATAAAATAAGAGTAAATTAAAAACAATTTATGTTATCATGCTTAAAGAAAATGATCTGCTCTCATATAACTCAAGTGATACAAATTACTAGTTAAAATCAAGTAAATTTTGAAAACACATAATACTCAACATTTAAAATTTTGAGAACTCAATAGAACAGATTACAAACATGGACACTCAGTCCACGAGGATAAATAACTAAACGCGGCTTATGCCACGAAAACAAACGTGGACACACCAGTCCACGAGAGTAAGTAACCAAACGCAGCCATAGCTATGGAACAAACGTGGACACACAGCCCACGAGGGTAAATAACCAAACATGGCTCAGGCCATAAAATCAAACGTGGGTACGAAGCCCATGAATACTGAACGTGAGATTAAAACTCACGAAACAAACTAGCTAGTGTTTAACCACAGCACGCTACGGACTAACGAAACTGTCGTTAGTAGCAGTGTTCTGTATAGAGTTCTCTTAGAAATCTCGTTTTAAACATGCGAGAGAAATAATTATTTGTGAAGTCAAATTGTCATTCTCAAGGTCAAACTCGCATGAATTGCTTTAAATATATGAAACTTGTCAAACGATACACCATAACAAATGTACAAATTTGTGCTAATCATGAAATTAAGAAATTTTGAAATTCAATAGGCAAAGGTGCCTTCATCAATATAAAAAATATATTTCTTGAAAAATTGCACAAATCATAATATGACTATTCTTCATCATTATTTCAAAATTTCTAAAACTAACATAATTCATAAAAATGAAATATTTTAATAAAAGATTTTCAATGAATGCTCGTAAGGAATGCTATTCACTTACCTATTAAAGTTCTAAATTCACAAAAGTATTATTCTTTTAAGTCCTTTCAGGGTCTTGTTCTTCCACACACCCTATAAAATATAAATATATATAATTTTAATAACTTTTCTCCTTTTTTTTTCTTCTCGGGATAGAAGCTTTCTCCCAATCTTTGCACCTCTTACCTTAGGTGCATTACTTCCACCATTTCAATCTAAAACCTTTAAGTATTTACCAAAAATCAGACGAGCTTTAAATATACAAATAACTGTGTGTGTAAACCCATAATTTAAATTCCTTTATAAATCTATAGGTGAATTCCTAATTAATAATTTCCATCAATGTTTAGGAGTTACTTACTCTTCCAGTTTCACCTTAATAAAGTCTTTAGCATTAACCAAATCAAATAAAATCAATGTAAATCTAAAATTATGACCTATCTGTTTCTTCATCATTCTTCAATATTACTGCATGTATATATGTATATATATTTTCAGTCATGGGCAGCAATAGACAATCAAAAATGAAAAGCAAATTTCAATGTTATCTCATCATACCCCTAGGTGCATTACTACCAAGATGGAAAAGAGAAGGGATCAAGATTCTTCACCTCAATTGGTCCAACGGCATACAGTAGGGGAGGAGGAAAATGAAATTCACAATTGGGCAAGAGGAAAAATGAAGCACTATTCAAAGAAAGTGAAGAGAACCGAATCCACCAACTTCTAGCGAGCTAATTTCTTCCATTCATTAGCAACATATGAACGAAATTTGAGAAAATAGAGCAAGAATCAGGATGAGTAGAAGGAAGCATAACAAAACTAAATATAGTTGAGAAACTTGACAGTAGCAACAGAAAAAAATCCTATAATCTGTACCTCGCTCAACTGAA